TTCTAACAGAGACCACAAAAAATGATATAACCCAATAGATCCTCACAATCATCACTTGCACCTTAAATCCATGTCGCAGAACTCCAGGTTTATTTTTCTGCTGGGAAGACAGCAGGGAGCCAGTGTTTGCTCAGCTAGTAAATAGACACACAGGACATGTGATGAGTGAAAGACCAGTTTTTTATAAACTTAGCCCAAATACACATCCATCCACCCATCCAAATCTGTTGTACAGTGTTTGCGCTATTTGTATGGATTTGTTGGACTGCATATATTTTGTGTTTGGTCAAAGTGCTACATTCATCCAGTTGTTTAGTGTGTACATTGTGTGATCACTAAACTTTAGCATTAGTTTGAAGCACTAAGTGGAAATCTTATCAGCATAAACTTTGTGTTCAGTTTAAAATAAAAGCACACAAACTTGGTAGACTCTTATTGTACCTCTGTCACTATTCAAAGCTATCATCCCAGCCTTAAGAATTTTTTTCTGCTCATTTTCTGCAACCCCACAGAAGAGAAATGTGTAATTTATTCAAAGTCCATGTTTGCTATAGTAATTAAATTCCTTCGTATGTTTACATTTTGTTTATTTCACCACTGTGACTAGTTCATTTAGCATTTTGGGAAGGCTTCTTTGTCTGAGAGAAAATCCATTTTCTAGCTCCTACCATTCACCGCCACACACAAGTACGCTGATTATTCCGGAGGCACAGAGCGGGAGCGCGGGCAGGAGAATGCAGGATGAGGACCTACAACTGACACAAGGTGCAAGCACCACCAGTGGCCTCAATCAGTCACGAGGTGCCTCAGCACGAATGGAGCAGAGAGGTTGTTGTGCTGGCAGCCCCCGGCAGCATGATTAAGGAGCCAGCGGTGTGATTACGCTGCTCGCCTTATGAATGGAGTAATAGAGGGAGGCATAGTCTGGTGCTAAATTCTCCTGATGGAGGTGAGACATGAGTATGCGGTGGGGAGGAGTCCGAGGCCCTCCCATGTGACCGAGAGAAGATAAAAGACTGACAATAGATAATTAAGGAACTGCCAGGACCTCTTTTCTATTCACATGGCTGTATTATTAAAGGGGATTCAGTCAGGAAGAATATTAATATAAACTACAGCCCGTGTGACTCAGATGAATATAAATTGGGGCCGGTGTGTGGAGGAATGCATTAGGGAGTGTTTATCAGGAGCACAGTGGAGCACGGTGATCATGAGAATGGGCTCCACACTTTGCCAATGAAGCTGTGTCGAGCTCCGGTGAATTAACAAACGCATGTCATCAGCAACAAAGGTGCTTTTGAGCAGTTTGCATGTTCACATATTTAAATCGCTGCTGCAGAAAAAAGTCACACAGCTGCAGTTTTTTTGCATATTAGTCTTCGTTCATTCAAGCTTCATCACTTTCAATGATTCAAAAAAAAGAAAGAAAAAGAGTTTAAATCCCCTGTTGAAGAAAATGTATTTTTCAAGCTACATAGTACTAAAGAACATTAGGCAGAAAAGCATTTCATTCGTTAAGCATCAGTATAATCAGTTCATCACAGAGTAAATATATTTCAGGCAGTGAAAAGGTGAGACTTTTCTGTGTCGTAGTTGTGGTTGAATTTGGTAAGTTTTTCATATCTGTGGACAAAAAAGGCTTATCTGCTGTAGGGGTTGTTGAGATGGAAGTACCTCTCCACATGGATTTCACAGATAAGTATTCAACCTTGTGCAATTTGGAGGATCCTTTTATCCAAAACACCCAACTGAACCTGCAGCTGTATACATTTTAAAGATGAATAAGCCCTGAGAGAAAAATATGACAGTGCCAGAAAACATTACCTGTGCTGAAGCATGAATATACTGGCTATAATATATTTTTTTTCTTCCATAACACATATCAGTGGGAAGGAAATTTCAATGATGAACCACTGAAAAAGTCAAGGATATGACTTTAATATAGAAAAAAAAATCAGAAAAAAACAAAATTCTTAAAGTTTTCTTCATCTTCCTTTGAAGATAATGACAAGTTCCAAATTAGAGTTTAGAGTTGCATCCAAAAACTTCAGTTTTTCCCCCTTCATTAATCAAATGGTTGTATCCCTCCAGATATGTCCCTTACAATCTCCTAAAGGCCAAGATGACTTCTTGAAACGAGCCAGTTTGTCCATCCAACAGTCCAAACATCAAATCAAATCAAATCACTTTTATTGTCACATCACATGTGCAGGTACATTGGTACAGCCCTTGTGAGTGAAATTCTTGTGTGCGAGCCCCACAAGCAACAGAGATGTGCAAACACAACAACACAAACGAGCAAAATACAAGAATGGCCAACCTGAAACTAATAAATATATGTACAATATATAATAGTGTATGCATTTCTGGATGTGTATACTAAATATTTTCCTACGTGTGTGTGTGTGTGTGTGTGTGTATACACATTTTTACAAATTAAATAGTAAAAAAAAATAATAATAATAATAATAATAATAAAATATATAAAATATACAGAGTTGAATATGTGCAAAACAAGTGGCATTTATATACAGTGTGGAGTGCATAATGTTGAAGTTCCAGTAGTGAAGCTGAGGTGTCTATGACGTGTTCAGCAGTCTGATGGCCTGGTGGAAAAAGCTGTCTCTCAGTCTGCTGGTACGGGACCGGATGCTGCAGAACCTCCTTCCTGATGGAAGTAGTCTGAACAGTTTATGGCTGGGGTGACTGGAGTCCTTGATGATCCTCCCCGCTTTCCTCAGGCACCGCTTCCTGTAGATGTCTTGGAGGGAGGGAAGCTCACCTCCAAAAATAAATGTAATCTTTATTTGATAGATTTCTCAGTGTTTATAACCCAAGTTTCCCTTTGCAGGAAAATCCTGCAGATTACCCAGGCAGTTTTGCCGATGTGGTGGTGTTTAAAAAAAAAAAAAAAAATCAGGAAAAGCCTTTCATTCTTATAAATTAGAACACCATAATTTGCATAAGAATAGTTTGCCTCATCAGCGTTGATGGAGATTCACTCTGTTCTCAGGGACTTCTCAGTTTCATTTTCATTAAATGTCTTCTGCCTGCAGCACACTTTAAATGGCAGTATTTTTACCTTCACAGGTAGGTGATTCCCAAATGAAAAGCTGACAAAACGTGACTTTATATGATTTTATAGATTAAGTTATAAAATCACCTGATACAAAATGAGCTCTAACTGGATCAACTTAAGTATGTAGTAAACACAAATACGAAGTTTTCAATAATACGTGATTTTGTAAAAAATACTAAAATAAATTTTAATGCCATTTTGAACAATTTTGAACATACTTACCCACTATTAATCCATTGTTATTTGCTTATCTAAAGTCAGGTAATGGTGGCAATAGGCTAAGTGGGTTTTTCCAAATGTCCTTCTCCCTAGTCATACTTTCCAGTTACTCCTGGGGGATCCTGGGGCGCTTAAAGACCAGACGAGATATATAATCTCTCCAGTGGGTTCTAGGTCTACTCCAGGGTCTCCTCTGAGTTCAGTGTGCATGGAAAACCTCCAAAGGAAAGTGTCCAGAAGGCATCCTAAGCAGACGCAGAAGTACCTCAATGAACATAGGTGAGGGTTGGGGTGCAGATTGACTCGTAAAATGAAAACTTTCCTTTGAGCTCCGCTCTCTTCTTACCACGATAGTCTGGTATGATGGCCACATTGCTGCTGAAGCCTCATCAATCCACTAGTACAAAACACAGCCCACCTGCTCATCACTTGTTAACAAGATAATTGAAGTCCCCTGCTTGAAGTAATAATAATAATGGATTGCATTTATATAGCACTTTTCAGGGCCCTCAAAGCGCTTTACAATACCACTATTCATTCACTCTCACATTCACACACTGGTGGAGGCAGCTACAGTTGTAGGTAGCCACAGCTGCCCTGGGGCAGACTGCCAGAAGCGAGGCTGCCATATCGCACCATCGGCCCCTCTGGCCATCACCAGTAAGTAGTAGGTGAAGTGTCTTGCCCAAGGACACAACGACCGAGACTGTCTGAGACGGGGCTCGAACCGGCAACCTTCCAGTTACAAGACGAGCACCCAACTCTTGAGCCACGATCGCCCAGCAGAGAGCCATGGCCTCAGGCACTTGGAGGCAGTGACTTTCTTGTACAAATATTTTTTTTTAAGCAAACGAGTACTTGAAAAGCAAATATTGGTGCTATATCACTAAAATACACAAAGAATATACTTTCTTTACCTTCAGTTAGTCAAATACATTTCACATTTTACCTGAGAGCTAAGATCCAGTCACACAAAGACCTGTTGGCAACCACTGCTCACTAGAAGACAGGGGTTGCAATTGCAATTCTTTCTAGCTGTAAGTGTCACATTCACTTGCAGTATTCATGAAAGATGCTAACTTGTCTGCAAAGACTGTTCGCTTTCATAGTAAAAGTCATGCATTTTCAATTGTTTTGGGGGGTTTCCCCCTCCGATTCTGGTTTGGGTCGCACTTGTTCAAGTTTCACTACTTCTCAGTAAGCAGCAGGCGAGTGTTTGCAGATAAATCGTTGTCTTCCATGCACACTATGGGCAACTGCGGTAATCTGTTAGTGACCAAAGCAATCACAAGGAGGTTTTTGGTGCAGGACGCTCTTGGTGACTGATTTCAGCTGACACAGCCAGTAACCTCCAGCAATCATTCACGAACCATGGGGGAATACACATTGTTTCCCAGCAGGCTTAGGGAAGCTGATTGGTCTCTGTGTGGCTGAGGCCTGCAATAACAAAAATACACACACATTTTTGCATGAAACTAAAAAGTCTTAATTTATGTATTTTTTTTCTGCTTCTTACAGTTATCTTAAGCATTCTTTGCTGCAAGATAAATGCACCCAAAGGGAAAACAGACTTGTGACCTTGTTCTTGTTGCAGAATAAATAACGGTCAGCTTGGCTCCTAAAGGAGCCTTTATTCCATAGCTGTAAAGCGGCCTCTATAGAAGGTCACTTTAACAACAAAAAGACACAACGATACACTTGGTTCATGATATATTTTTTATTGTTGGGTAAAATGACAAGCGTGTTTTCTCTATATAAATAACAATCACATGAAAGAACATACGAGACATGGCTATAGGGAAGTGGAATCAGTGTTTGTGATCACAATGTGCTGCTTGGGAACAGGATGTCCATAATGATAGCTGTGTGTTTTGTTTTTCATTCTTAAAAAGGAGTGTGTTGATTTTCTGAAATGAACAGAACCTGGCAGAATCTGTACACTGATGAGAAACTAATGGACTCACAGCCAGCCGCTATGTACAGGACATTAACAGACATTAACAGAGAGAAAGGTCAGAGGTCGTCATCAGCAGAGTCGGGGTTTAAAACAGGAAAATTTAAATCAAAGTATATACGCTTTAACTGGAAAGACAGAATGACTATATATAATCTGTACACATCAAAAGTTCATACTAAATTTGAGATACAGTTGCCCATTGTGATTCAGAGTCATAGAGTGCTAGGGTGAATATGCATAGAAATGTGTCCAGCTAGGAAACGGTTTCATTGACTACTGCAGGAGCATCTAGAAAGAGCTGCTTCTCATGCTCAAAGACCCTCTACACGGCACAACCACATCTACCCCAGTCCCCAGTGTGCTAGTTCATCATTACTTCACATTAAAACATCCACTTGAAACACGCTGTCAAACAGAGCAGACTACGCATGTGCTCCACATTCAGCTACACTCTAAGATGCTTTTCTTTTATTTGGTCCAGGGATATTAAAATTATGACAGAATTTTCTTCACACACGAGTGCTCTATTGACTCTTAGCTAAGGAACATTTTTGAAATATTTTAAATTTCACAATGTGTAAAGCTGGCAATATTTACCTAACATCACCACTGACTTTCATTTTTCTGCTTTAGACTATAAATGAAAAGAAGAGGAAAAAAAAACTATATCATTCAAAACCTTCCAAAGCTGGTTATAATTTCGGATCAAAGGTTACAGAGCACACAACCATAATGAACCACTCAGTCTCCACTTCAAACAGGATGGGATCACAGCAAGGGCTCGTTTTAATTAGACAGATTTGGCTGCATTCGATGGACGAGAGCTGTAGATTTGTGAGGAACCACTCACACTCACCATGAATGAATGGGTCAAAGAAAGAGGTGTTAGTCTGCAGTCACACTGGGAATAATTATGCTAATTCCTCTGATGGAGGGGAATTTTCCTTGAAGGCACAGGAAAAAAGTTGGGAATGGGAAAATTGAAATTATAAGATTTAATCTGGGTGTATACAATATATATGTATATATGCGTTTCTGCCGATTCACTTTAGTTTGTTTTTGTTAAGAGATTATCTACAGCATTCCCACACACTGAATACAACCGAATAATAATGCAAAGTTGCACATATTTATAATTTCATACCAATTTTCCTGAAAAAAATGTTACTAGCAAGCAACTTTGATGTAGAGGCAAACCACCAGGTGAAAACAAAACAAACAAACTTGGCTTCAAGACAATATCAATCAATTATGCCCTCACATATTTGTTCTTTTTTTTTAGCATTTTTTATTTTATTTTATTTTTTTCATTTTCGGATGACAGTCCCTCATCCGTGTGATGAAGTCAATTTGGTTTCTGAATCTGTGGTTTTCATTATCGGACTCCCACAAAACTAAAGAATCTGCAACAGAATTCAGTGCATTAGTACCTTTGAAAGGAAAAAGCTCACTGGGTCTCATCGTCATGACCTAAGACTCTCCCACCCACACCACCACGTTGCCTTTGAGGACATCGGTGATCTCACAGTTGAGCTTGTTGAGCCGTCCATCCAGGATGAAGAGGGACTCTCTGGACGGTGTCATGAGGTACTGTCCGAACAGTCCGCTGCCCGCCATGATCCTGTTCTTGCTGCTCCACGGCCACTCAAAGGACTTGGTCGGCTCCTTCAAGCTCTTGATCATCTTGACTTTGCCGGTGCTCAGCTCCACAAACAGAGCGTCAGTTTGACGGCCGGAGCTGCCGAAAACGTTATACTGGTGGACTTCGGTGAAGGAGCGCTGGAAGGCCAGATCAGATAGGTGCAAGTTGGTGTGGATATCGAAGGGTTCCTGGATTTGCCCTCGCTCTGAGATCGTCTGGATTCTCATCAAGCCATCACTGTCATCGACAGTGACCAAGTAGTGGCCGTCTGGAGACACATAGGGAGTGCCAGTGATGTCACGGTTTTGACCAATTACGCTGTCTGTCACGCTGTCTAAGATGAGCTGAGGCTGCGTGGCACCGGTAGAGTCTGGCCTGCAGTTAACAAAGTAATAGCCACCCAGATGGGTGTAGGCTACAGACTTGGGGATGCAGCTGTACTCCCATAAACTGATGTTTTTCACATATGAAGTCGTCTCCAGGTCAATCTTGTGTAGGACAGGCTCATTTCGATGAAGGATGAGGCCAAATCTGCAGAGAATTTAAAGAGAAAAACAAAGAAAAGATTTAATCAATATCACATTTTTCTTCTGAAATCCAAATTAAGAATCAAGAAACTGCCAACCCAGTTGACTGGTTGAGCACTTTGTACAAAAGTAGGGTCAGAATATATCTAAAATATTTCGGTTTACCTGAGCATGACTTTAGCGATACATTTTTCTCATTTAAGACCGTCCAAGCAGTAATGCACAACTGCCCAAATCTGCAGTTTGTTTAATAAACTCTTGAGGCTTCCTTCGAGATCAAATGAATCCCCACAGACCCCCGTGTTAAAACAAAACACAAACGTAGAAGCAAGTTTAAATGTTGTATATTATTTCTATATACAGTTTCTGATGCATAAACTGCAAATAATGCACAATGTATTCCCTATAATCCCCATCCAGCAAACATCTCGGCTATCTGACAAAATGCCGCAACTCAGCACGTCCACACATTGCTGAGAATGAGATTTAGCGAGTCAGCAGGTGAAATTTGCCTCCTTAGTGATGCTGCAACTTTTGCATTTTTAGCCTTTATGGATTGTAATTGGTCAATGCTTTCCTTTAAACCAAGTGGAGTGAGTACCTGGAGAAAACTCACTCAAACACAGGCAGAATATGCAAACTCCACAAAAAAAAGCTCAGCTGTCAGTCAATCCAAATCTAGGACCTTTTCACTGTAGGGCATGAGTGCTAGCCACTGCAACACTGTGTTGCTCTGCTAAGATTAGAAGACCATCAGGTACCATTGTAGTTCTGACCGCCGGTGGCATTTCTCCCATGACCTGCTTGGAACCAGGGGGGGGGGGGTAAAGTAAATACATTTTGGGTTTAACTTGGTTTTCATTTGAAAACCAGTTGTAAAAGGGATTTCAATGGAAACTCATCCCCATATAAATAAACATACAGTCTCCTCAGTCTGGTTGTGCTGACAAATTTGACCAAAATTACACAAAAACAGTACATTAGAACTTTGAGGGTTTTTTTTAAACACCTTTTCCTTGGATTGCTGCATGACTTCTTTGAATTTTGTTTCACAGACTTGAAGAGCTTCTGACTTTGCTAATCCAGAGTTTTACCTTTAACTCTAGCACTCATACTATTAGATAAAATATCTCAACAACTGCTGATGAAATTTGAAGTATATAGTCATCGCACCCCATGTTAATTATAATAATCTTGATGATTCTTAGTTTTTCCATCCTAGACCATCATCAAATTGCATTTTTAATTTTTTGTTTTATGACCAACTACATCATCCTATCAGCTGCAGCTGTGTTTAGTTCTACACTCTTTATAATTTGTGCTCTAATACAGACGGACTAGCAATTAGTGCTTGTAAGCTGAATTTGAGGGGCAAAATCATACGTTTCTAGGCTGTCTTCTCCAGCTTCCCGGCCTTTTTGGATGATTAATGCAGAAGGACATCTTGTTAGTTCAAAGCTCAAGTCATTTGCTTTGAACAGTCATGCACTGTATTTGAAAATGTTCTGTAATTTTTGATTTTTTTTTAAAGAAATCTGACAGTAAAATGCCCCCTAGAAGCTTAACCTGCAGGTGCAAAAAAAATCTTAAATCGACCAGCACAATGCAGATGATAAGGCAAGGTCAACCTGAAATAAGAAATTGATTTTTTTTACTAGGTAATTATGAAGATTGTTGGACTGTCATAATTTTAAATAAATTTTCAGGAGCAAAACTTTAACATATCTGAGAGGTCCATTTAAAACACTAAAACGGCCATCTTCTGCCCTCTGGCAATCTTCATATTGGCTGTCTAAAATCATCTACACTTTCCCCTTTAATAGAATCATAGCAGTGTTATATGTGGGCAACAATCAGTGAAAATGCTACTCATTAGAAAAACCCAAAGAACCTCCTAATGGCACATTACACTTTAACAGCTGAACAGTTGGAATATGCAAGGAGCGGACAGGCCTCAATTAAATGCGAATACCAGGTGATTGATGCTGACAGGCGCTTCAATCTTGCCGTCATTCATCATCTTTTATGCCGTTTGAACACCACACTGTCTGTACCTGTGAACAGAAAATGGCTGTTTGAAAGCCACACAGCACATTATCATCACTGTGAAGGGAATCATTGATCCAGAGATCATTGTGTCCACTGGGGCCAGGCAGGAGATTGCACAGGGTCACAGAAACAACTAAAGCAGAGTTTTTGGTTTGTAACATGTGAGCATAAATTGATAACAACTATTTCTCACGTGTGTGAGGCTGGCTTTACTCCTTAATTAGTTATATTTCACTTATTATGTGATCAGTATTTAGTTTTGGGTTGTTTTTTTTACTTAAAAATTTCCTGCCGTTGGTTTGGAGCTGCTAATGATCGATGGCTTTTGGCATCTTAAATAGTCTTTAATTAGCCTGTCTTATTATTAATGGAGCAGTTTTTCTTATTTTGTTGCCAAGTCTAGACTGTGCTACAAAACAGTTGTCTGCATTTAGCACAGAAATTGTGGAGCAGACCATTTATTTTCATTCATTTTCACAACTAAAAATCCTTTTTTTTCCAATTTAATCAGGAAAACAGCAGATTTAATTGTTCCTTTTGTAACTCAGTGTTACTGTAAGAACTTGCAATATGAATTCTTTGACCATTTTCTGTTCTGCACTCCACCCCCTTCATACAGTTAAAGAGCTACTTTCTACTCATTGTCGTTTAATAAAAATACAAAAATTTATTATTATGATTTAGCCAAGTCTAAGACTGAAAGGAAACTGAGGACCACCACTGAAAAACCACTAGTTTAATCCCTGTAATGTTCAACCAAGGATTTCAGAATAAGTAAAGCAAAGACAAAGGAAACAGGTCAGAGTAGGCAGGTTGCTGCAGGGAAACGAGACTTGGACAATCTAATCCAAATTAATTACCTGGACTGGACTTTTATTTAAGGTTAGAGTCTAACACTGGACCAGTTCACTCATCCTACCAAGTTGTTATTGCTCAGATATGTGAATGTGTTACTTCCATAAGAAGCAAGCAGTGATATCAGCAGCCTTTCAGAATTTCTCTCTTAATCATTAGTTAGGCTAGCAGAGTCAATGCTAGCCTAACTAATGATTATATACAATAAACTTTTATTTGGAGTTGACATCAAACTGAAATGAACCACACTTTGCTGTTTTTTCCTGGCTCCGAACTGGTCTATACTGGTGGCTGTGTGCGCAAACCTTCTTCACTTTGTCATTATGAGGTATTTGTAGAATTTTAAGGGTGAAAAATGAATTGAATCCTAAGATTCAATAAGAAACAACTACTGTAATACGACAAATTGTGGAATGAGCGAAGCGTTGTGAATACTGCACTGTATCCTAACAAGAAGCTCTAGCATCTCTCTCAGTAAGTGCTTGTGAATACAGCCAAATTCTCAGAACAGCCAAGAATTAAAATGCCCATTCAAATGAATTAATCAGACAAAGTTTTCATTATACAATCAGGACTTATGAGTAATTTAGACTGTAAAATTTGTTGGCAGTATACACTGGTTAACTTTCATAAGTGGTATTCGATTCACTGGAGTCTTACAAAGATTTATGATCATTCAATCAATTCTGTGAAACCACCAAAGCGGTTTTATGTCAATTAAAAAGCCCTCCGTCACTAAACATGTTGGTTCTTCATTCTACTATAGTGTCCCTCACCTATATTAAAAAATAAGCTCTGAAGAAAGATGGGGGAATCTAGAAGAAAATCATCAGAAAAATGTACCGGTATTGTGCAGTTTAAATCTGAAAAACCATTTTCACCCACTGGCAGGCAGAGCTGGTGATTTACAGACCAATAATACAACTCTGCCTATCAAACAACACTGAAATTGTTTTGCCATGGATTATTATCAATATTGTGGCTGATCAATGACTAGTGCACAAATGCTGTGAAATATTGGTAACATGCTTGGAAGCAAAAGGTCGATGCGATGAAACAAATACTTTTCTCCATGGTTTGACTTTTTTTCATGTATGAAAAATTGATAATCAGACATTGTTTGGCCTTGCTGTGATGTGAACACAGCTGGGGTGCTTCACTGGCAGACCCGGATTGCTCTGTGCCAAACTGACAGCTGCTGTTTGTCGTTTGTACCAATGACTAATGCATAAAAGATTTCCCCCAATTCTGCACAAGATGGCTATGTTCAACTAGCTGCTTTGCATGCTAACTCATCTCTGTGTCAGTGTTTTCACTTTAGAAATGGCTGAGTCTAAACACTTAACCCCAGAGTAATGTTTGCTATGCAGTTCAGTAAAAGATCCTCAGGGTAAAGCTTGTGAGCAGCGACAATGGATGCTGAACAGTAAAATATATCTAAAGCACAGCAATTCTTGTTCACCCATCCTCTAGCACAAAAAGAAACATCAAACCAACATCTCGCTCGACTTGTTTTGCCAAAAGGGAGTCTGTGCAATGATTAGAAATTTGTGGAGAAAAAAAAAATGAGTGTGGGTAGCTTGAGCTGCAGGGTGCTATAGATGTGGGCATAAATAAGAAACAACCACTTTTTTTCTTTCCTTTTGCTGACATGTAAATTTGCTTGGCTACAAGTCGATGGCTGTAATGAATGACAGCCCCTGGAAGTTCCTGTTTGCTTTATAGTAGCTGCCGAGGGAATCCCCAGTCATTAAACAATCCCTGGAAGTTGCTGAATATATGTTGGCCGTTCGCACACTGCTCATGTTGCTTAATCGACTAATCGATGCTGTGTTCCTGCCAGCAGATAAATGCCTGTGTGAGTACCAGATATATAAAGAAAAATCAGAGCCACGGGGTAGCAGTTAATTCCAACTTCTCTATTATCTGCAATAAAACAGTTGTCCAAATAAAAAATGTGTATAGATCCAAAGCTTTGTCCTGCTTCACATGTTGTCACACATTCTCCAGAAGAGTACTCGGCTTCAGCCTCAGGTACTGTCCGATTTTAGCCATATGAAAAACATTCATAATAGTTGCACCTCCAAAGAGAAAGCTTATTTTTAACTATGAGTAGCTGTTAAAGAGAGCACTTTTCACACAACATTCTGGGGAAAAAAAGAAAGAAAACATGGTCACACTTTCCTGCAATCTTCCCTGCAGGTCTCAGTGGATCTAATTACAGCTGTGCCAGCAACCCCACCCACACTCCCACCACACAGACACACGCCGGACTGCGTGCTCCTCCTCGGCAGGAGACCGTTAACTTCCTGAAATCCTCCAGACCTCCTGCTTGTTCCTGGCCTCTCCGTGACATTAGCCAAGCGTTTGGGAAAAGCTTTTCTCTATCCGCGTTAAGCCTGGGTGTGACAGCTGCTCGTGACATGTGAAAACCGAAGCAGCGTTTCGATGCACTCTGCACTCAGCAGGTCTATGCTTTGTTGTTGATGAACTAAAGCGATAAAGAGCAGGTGAGGTGCCAAACTGCCCCCCCCCCCTCTGACTTTGTTGGGGTTTTTTTTTTTATTTGATCTCGGTGAGAACAAAGAAAACACTAATGACTCCTGTAAGTAGTGGCATTTGATGATAATACTAATTGCTGATTCTTTCTTAAAACCACTCTTTGACCGTTTGACACAAAGAGTTTGGGGATATCTTTATCAGTGTAAGGAGGCAGCTGCATTTAATTGTTGTTATTCTGTTTTGGTCATGATGTTTCTGAAAGGAAAATTTCAACAGCTATAAACGGCATAGCTTATTTAATTGTTTTTAAAGTTAATGCACATTATGTGGACATCCTGTACAGAAATGGAAATAAACCTAAGCCTCAGGTATTGCTGCTGATTTATCAGGTAATCACCATTTACTGGTAATGTCTAGCACCAAGCTCGGAAATTTGTTACATTATTTCCTTAAAAGAAAAAGAAAAGAGTCCAAAAGGTTGAAAGGTCTATTTCAATCAAATTAGTAAAGGTAGGGCCTAGCAGGCAGCCGTCAGCTGTAGCCACTTTCCTTTGTCCCATCTGTCAGTCAAAACCTCTATACCCCTAAGTGGGTGTTTACTATTCATAAAGGCCACAATCTTTTAGTTTTTTTGTATCCGGTTACAAAAAAGCTTCCTTCAGAGATGGACTCACTTTTGGAGCCAAAGTGGCCATTAAAGAAACAAATCCTCTTTGATGTTAATTTTCAGCTCCTTATTTTTGCTGCACGATTATTTGCTTACATGTAATTTTTAATATACACCTTAATATTGTGACCAAGTGACGAAAATCATAATAAACTCCTAAACTTAACTAACCACTGAGTAAAAAAGCAACGCTCTAAATGGGAGATTAACTGCAACCTGCCTTAGCATCTTCTATCCTAGACCTCCACCTCACCCTTGTGTCTCCTTTATTTGAATTTGATACACAATACTTCTTAGAGTCTAATACTGCAGCAGCCCCTGCATCAGATGCCTAAACACCTTTGACATGTGTAAGTCTGTCACCCCAGCGACTTCTGACCAAGAGCAGTATTTGATGGCTTGGAATGTGAACCAGTTGGATGGGCTGAGCTTCTGCCTCCCAGACACTTTAAAGTAGGCATGAAGATGCCTTACAGCTTAACATGCTCTGAGGGGTAGATTCAGAATCTATTATGATGTATTATTAAATCTACAGAATTATAAAATTATAAAAAATGAATCGGATTATAAATTTACCAGTGTGACATGTCTATCTCGCTAGTCACTTGCATTTGTCAGTCCTCTTATTTTTTGAGCATTTGAAAAGCACTGCGTACAAGATCTACCAGAGCTACTGTGTAATATTTACAGTCTTTGCACAGGAACCTGCACAGGAACACAGCCGACGAATACTTGATTTTAAACAACCTAGCAACATTTAAGATAAAATAATAATTGATGAAATTAATTCATTAATTCAGTATTTGCAACTGTACTGAAATCTGGTAACTGTTCAAAAAGTTTTCAAGAAGAATGCAGATCATTTTCTGCCACTTGCTGTTTATTACTGAAAACTGAATATTTTTGGTAATCTGTCGGTTGGAAAAATTAAGATTAGGATTATTTAGTTTTTCTTTGTTTTTGGAAGTTTTTATGACCTAGTGATTTGATTAAAAAAAAATCTGTAACTTTGGCCTTTTTCTTCGTGGCCAAACCAGACTTTAAACAGTCAAAGGATATTTAACAGTTGTAAGGATCCTGCGACTTTCTGCAAGTGTCCTTTGAGATACTGCCAAGAAATGTAAAGCAAAGAGTACACTGACATATTTAAAATTTCTAATACTTATAACATGCTTATATTATTTATTGTTTTCTGCAACTCTTTTGTGATTTTTTATGCTGGTTCTTGTTAGTCTTTTGAATTTATTTAAAAAATAAGGAATTATATAATCAGTTTCAGGGTGCCCAGTTTCATCAGATAACTGTGTGGCCTTGATCCAAAAACCCACTCAAGTAGCGCAAAACAATGCTCATTCAAATTATTGTATTGAGTCTTGAAGAGATTTTAAGTAAAGTGAATTAAATGCCAAAGGGGTGAACCTAATTTGCAAATCAATTTACATTAGGAATGTTGCTGGATCATGCTGGATGTACCTGATGTGGTTAATGATGAGGCTGGAGGCGGGAATGAAGAAATCGTCCACTCTGTCGAAGCGCCTGCCGACCGGTTGTGTGTGAACGGTGTGGTGGGAGACTCTTCCGCTGGCCTGATTGATCACCTGGTGAAGACCAACAGAGAAGCAGGTGGGTGTTTAAAATGAGCTTGATGAATACACTCAGTGCTGCTGGTTTCTCCTCATTAAAGTCTTTAAATCATACTTACTTGGAGCTAACAATGAACCGAAAGGGACTAATATCAGAAAGCTGCAAAGGTTTCCAGTGTTTTTTAACAGATAAAACTCTTCAGCCTCTCCTCGTGCTGTTGAGTAGCTGGAGCTTCTCAGTAGGAGGTGATGTGTGCTATATTCCTTGGTGTCTAAATAATCATCATGCATGCATGGAAGCGTGTAGACATGTGGTTGTGTGTAGGCAGGGTTTGCTTTGATTGTACCACAATGCTGAAGGCAAATTGCCACAGACCAAATCCCTGCATTACAAATCTCTGTGCTCCTGATGACAAACTAGAATTTCCAATGAAACCGCTCAATTTGACTCAAAGGAAACAATTAAAAAACACACTCATTAAATATGTGTTCCATTTATAGCAAAGGCCTCAAAATTGAACATATACAAAGAGTATTTATAAGGTGCAATCAATAAGTGTAGTGAATTCCAGAATTTAAAGAAAGAAAGAAACAGCAGATTTAGTTAGTACTATAATAGCGCGAGTGCTATTTTCAGTGTGTTCCCCAGAGGTCCTGTTTTACCACTTGAAGTATGCAATATGTGCTACACTGGCTCAGCAACCCTTCATCTTGAGTATCATGTTAAAAATTATTACATGAAATTTGGGTCATTTTGATGTTGACCCAACAAGTTAATGTTTGCTGTTCGCAGAGACACAAGTGGTCAGAACAGGATATCTAAAGAGCAGTGTGAATGAGATGGACCAATCCTGATGTGCAATAAAAGCACCATCTTTTGATATATATATTTAAATTTAACTTTTTAATGATACAACACTCTACCTTTGTGGTCAGAAGTTTATGTGCCTGGATTTATGTGTAGTGGTTCAGAACCAAAAACTACTACAGCCTTAATGCCTGCTGCACTCAAAGTGCATTTAATTAACTTAAAATATACTCTAAGGGAGAAGCAATGAAAGTAAAGGTGGGATGCAGATGGAAATTAGCCCAAGGCTATAATCTGGCATATTTACATTTGTTAAAATGTTCATTAATATGTATTGCCCCTCTTTCTAAAAAATAAATAAATAAATAAAAAATAAAATCTTTTTTTCAACTGTCAAATAATGCACAGCTGAAGTCACTGAATTTGTTGTAGGGAGAAAAGATGTGTTTGTTTGTTTTTATCACCTGTAGCTTTCTGGATTGGCTTTGTTGGTAATGTTATGCTAATAGTTATTCCTTATCGCTGATTTTACAGCTTACACATGCCTATCTTCACACAGGGTATTTAATATAATCAGCAGGAAGATATTAAGTTCCTCTATCAGCTCTTTTTATTTATAGAATCCTGAAAGGGTTCGTTGAGTAATAGAAAATTAATGACCAGATAATTTGGCACTGTTGGTAAAGGAAAAATGAGTAGCCTTGGACTCTGGGACAACATGATTGGTATTTTTCACAATTTTCTGACAGTTGGTGAACATAATACATTTTAAAGCATGTGAACCATCCGAACTTTGCCTTGATAGTCTGCATCTCTGTGCTTGTTTATATAACTCACTGCTTTCAACCGTTTTACAAGGACGAAAATGGACAAGGACTGCAGAGGAGAGAAAAACATTGAAATATAATTAACTAGTGAACCACGGACACACCTGCAGGGTAGGAAAGTTCTTCTCCATGTCTCCCCAGCTGAGCAGCCACACCTGGTCATGAGATTTGTCATAGTGGAGCTTCACTGGATATGGGTCAGTGCTGACCGTCTGAAAGAGAACACACAACCGATCAAAAACCAAATTGAGCCCAAAGACAGCAGGGCCATGGTATAATACCGCAAGGCAAACTAGACTTGTGTTTGAAGAGATCCCTCTTTGATGTGCAATGGTAATGCTTTTGAAAGGTTTTCCTGCAGACTAATGCACCGCGGGTTGACAGGTCCAAGTCTTCTTTTAACAAGGTAGATTGGAGGTGTGCTTTTTATGTATAAGGTGTGTTTGGTGTTGAGCTGCATTTCAAATCAAGTGGTGACAGACACAATTTCTTTACCACACTGAAGTAATTGCTTTCAGTCTTTATCCGTTCTTTGACACACAGCGGCAATATTCCCAACCAGAACAATAGATGAGTCGTATGTGACAGAAAAGCGCTCCTCATGCATTATGTCCACCTGAGTGCAGAGAGACACCCGGCTCAAAGGGAATACGGCAATCTCAGGGGAAGCGAGAGCATGCAGTAGCTTTACTCCTCACAAGAGCAAGAAAAAGCAATCATCTTTTTAAAAAGAATTATTGCAACCCTGTATTCCCACAACCCCGTTTGACTGCAGCTTTCCTTCTATAATATTTGTTTTGCCACAAAATCCTAATGGTATTGTTTACCTTGGCAAAATATATACTGTATTACTGAGAGAGTAAACATCTCCTAAGAGAGTTATTGCAAATAAGATGAGAATATCTGTTGAATCCTAACTAATCTCCGAGCATGTAGTCATCAGAGAAAACAGGTGTTCGCGTTGTTCTTTTCCTCTCGACTGACAACTTCTTTCTGGCTGAGGAAGATTATAAAGATCCTCAGCCAATATGCTCTAGTAACTTCTACAGATCTGTCAGAGATGAAGCGCGGAGAACATTGCAGCTACTTCCACACAAGTATCCGCATGCACTCTGCAATTCATTAGTTATAATGCACAAAATACAGCTTGCTCATTAAAAACTGTTAACTAACAATTTAATTGGTTGCAAATTTCAAAACGCAAATCGCTTGTTATTGTTGCTTTCGGCATGTCAATCATATTAATAATCCAATGAGAACACGAAAATCTGGGAAACCAGAACTTGCGTGTATCTTACCATTCGAGACGAGTGACGGGTTCAGGTGGGTAATTAACAACTGGTAATATAATGCAATGAAGCTAAACCTCCAGGCGACTGAATAATGAGCTTGTGACAGACTCTGGGACACCAACCTGCTTACTGGCAGGTCCCTGAGAGGCTGGCAAGCTGTAAACAGCTATCACGGTGTCAGGAACATCTGCAGGGATCTGAACAGCCTGGAATTAGTCTGACACACCCAAAAAACCCACTGACACTGATGATTCAACTCCACCACTCACTGCTATTTCCTGAGGAAGCCTTGCATTTAAAAAAATCCACCAGGAAAAGAGACGGGTGCAGCAAGGAGTGTTAAAGGGGCGGCTTCCTCACACCATCTGTGAGGAAGATGGCAGGATCTGCCATTTTAAAGCACTTCTGAAGGGTTGCCAGGCGACAGTATCCTTGAAGAGGTGGGTCTCAGGGTCACTCGGTCATCACGTTGACGCTAAGGTTAACTGTGGGTCTTGACAGTTGCAGTTTGTATGAAATGGGTCAGGTCAGGGATTAGCAGTCAAACAAAAGCTGATCTTAAAGCTGAAAAAGCAGCACTTTAGCGGTTCAAGTGGAACAGAGCCGGGCTGATGCACTGGCAAGCTTTCAAGCAAGTAAGAAACAAAACAGACTTCATCAAGTAGAAAAATTCAACACATGCAGACAAAGCCCTGCACTCTGCTGTTGACACTGAGGTTGCTTATCAGAATGATTTTATAATCTCTCTGTAGTGGTGACAGTAGTGGCTGGGAACCCCTGGTCAAAATTTCTGCTACTGTGAGTAGTTGTGTGTAAGTAGATAATAAACTGATGTCTAAAAAGACAAATATGAAACATTACTTTGAATATTTTAAGCAAGATTAGAGCACTTTCTGTTTTATATAATTTTGGTGCAAAATAAAAGTTTGGGCACCCCAGAAGATTTGACCTCTCACATAATGATTACAGTTGCTTGTTAGGCCTATTTTTGTATTAGGTCAGAATTATGGAAAGGCCTGGGGATGCACATTTCACATCTTAATAAACACTCAGACTCCTAAAACCTTGTCCCAACAACTAGCAGCTGCCTACTACTCTAAAGAACAGAGAATAATTGATGCCCACAAAGCTTGACTACAAGAAAATAGCTTTTTTTTAAGTAGAAGCTTTCTTACTTTGTAATGGAATTAAGACATGGTAAACAGAAAGTAGAGGTCAGGTTGAAAGAGCTGCTTGAATAATTGCTAGAAAACCAAATAAAAATAGTTTTTTCTTAAATAGACATTTGGAGTAGGTCTCCACGATTTCATAGAAATAACCTTAATGGAATCAGAAGTTTGGCATCCAAGCAACATCCAAACAAACCAGATGAATGGCAGACTGCTTTTTAAAGATGTCGGCGATATCTTTCCTCAGCGAAGCCAGCAACTCGACCTTGAGAGCCTCAATATCAGGATTAGCTTGAGATGTGGGGGGCTTTGCAGGAGACGACGGCTCACTCGAGGGTGTGGTCGCGGTTTGCAAACCAGGCCTCAGATGTGTTTGAATAGTACTGCGGGTTTTAACATTTTTTGCTGCCATTTTACGCCGGCCCGAGTAAAACTTCTCAACAAGACAATCCACAAACCGAAACAGGACTGGAAATATGCCCAAAAAGCGCAAATAAATAACAATTTAATCGCGTCCTACTCCATCAAAGCTCAACCGGAAGTCCGAATGGCAGACTGCTACACTGAACAACGATATATTTGGAGCAAAAAAGTGCAGATTTTCATGAAAAGAACTCTCAAACTGTAGCACCATTTGTAGCACCATTTTAGATTGACCATGCTTTGGGTTCTTGTTGCAGGAAAATGACCTTAAACGCACCTCAAATTCCACAATGTGCAACCTCAAGAAATGCAAGCTAAATGTTTTATTATGGCTTTCAGATTGGGGACTGGGGACAGTCCATCAATGAAAGCTTGTGGATAAATCTACTGTACATGCAAAAAATCTCTGAGTATTTAGTAAACAGAATAGAACAAGTAGCAGTGATGATGTTTCACGCTGTTTTCAAGCAAGATAACAAAAATCATCCTCCCTGAAATATTAAAGAAACGTGTCTTCTTCTTTAACGTTTTCTTTTTTTTGTGCCAGATGGGCACGATCATCTCTAGATTTTACAGAGGATGATCAGAAAAAGAGAAAAATACCAGGGAGAGGCAGTTTATAGCCAAAAATGTTTTGTTGGTGTCAGACATTGGGGAAGAAGACTGCTTCAGACAGCTTCAAGCTAATAGGAAGGCAACATTGACTCAAATAACTAGCTGTTCTGTATGCAGAACAGTATCTCTGAATGTGAAACATGTTGAACCTTGAAGCCGATGGGCTACATTGGCAGGTGTCACTAATGCTGGCTGCTATAAACATGAACCTGAGGCTACGTTTTATGCAGGCTGAAAACCAAAGGTTGTCAAACCTGATACAGCACAGTATCAGACACAATGTACGTAATACAATGTCCATTACTACAGTTTGTTACTACACTCATTTATGTGCATTTAGTTAATGAATCAGAAAATGTATTTTTATGCTTGGTGGTGTTTTACTCAGATTAATAGACCATAAACTGGAAAATGATTTAGTCTACTGGTGTTTATTACCCAGAATACTAGGTTGAAGGAAGTGTGGGATAACAAAGAAAGCTGATAACCACCATTCTGATACCTTTCACTAATGATCTGTTTTGTTGAGCCAGATGACATAAAGAAAGCCTGGCAATATTGAATTTACATTGGACTACACTCCTCATACATCGTCACACCACAGCGCTCACTTATTTGTATTAATGCTCTACTAAATAGTTACTTAAGTACAATATTCCAACACCTCTGATACAAGCGTTTCCCAAATAACAGGATACAGGTCATTTTTAGTTTAGGCCCAAAGCATTCATATATTTGAACTTCATGAAGGAGGATGATGTATGGAACTGGAAAAAAAACATGTGTGTCCTTCATTCAGCAAAATCAATCACAGAAAATACCCATATGGAGCAATGATGTATTGAAGGTTTTTGTGAAATATGTTGCGTTCAATCAACATGGGGACACCGAGCAACCTTGAGGTTTTTTGGCACAGATGGAGTCAATTACTGTAAACAACAACTTTTCACTTTTACAAAGACACAAACAGGAAAGATTATTCAATCTTTTTTTTTCTTGACCTGTGTTATCGTCAGACCCTCTCTCTGTGTTTCTGGCAAAACTGACGAGAACTTGTTTTTTCCAGTTTAGCCCGACAATTACCTGGACGGCCTTCTGAGACTGGATGTCAACTATGAGCACTCGATCCAAGGTTGGCTGTGTCACATAAATAAACTTGTCCTTGATGTTGACCGCTGATGACCACACACACCTCTGAACCGCCTCTCCTGGTGAGGTGGGGCACACTTCCTCCTGCAAAAACAAAGGCGCGCACACACACACACACACACACAGACACACACCGACAGTGAGCATATTGTTTTTCATATTACAGGGAAATACGTCTCATTAAAAAACAATTACCTTCACCTCGTCATTTTTCTGTGTTGTTTACTACCTGCAGTCTTATCACCTATGCTGATGTGAGTCGTGCTATCTTGGCAACTTGGATAAATGAGCTTTACGTGGTCCAGCGAAATCTCTGTAATCGCTCCCACTTGTCCGCACATATTCTTCAACACAAAGCCCGCGGACAGTCTACGGCTGTTCAGCTTCCACTCCTGGCAGCTCTCGCCATCCTGGCTAACGGGCAACTCAACCAGCCTTATGGCTCAGGAGATTTCCACCTCTCACCCCCTTCCCTAGTCATCCAATCCTCCAGGCAGTGACCAGTCGTCCATTTCAGACTCTGTGGGACAATTTTGGGAGCTGCAAGGATGAATGAAGGACTCCGGCATGTCGGGATGAACTCTTTCTCTCATATTTACAACCACAGAGGCAGCCCATGACAGGTCCCTTTTCACTGGCCAAAATTTCTTGGTTCGAGGGGCATTATTTAATGTATGAACTTGACTCAACTTTATATTAAGAATGATGGGGAAAAACAGAGAGGAGGGATCTAAACTCTACTGCCGACCTCCCCAGTGATGTCGCCCATGTCTTCTCTGTAGGTTAATTTGCAGACAAAAACATCCAGCTAAGAGGTCATTTCAAGAAGCTAAATCACTAAATCAATGACACTGCTTTGAATTTTCTGGCTTGAAAGAGCCAGAAAGACAAGGATTTCAATTCTCTGTGACTACATTGTCCAGGTGCAGCGCCATCTATTGCTGTTTATTCCAAAACAGGTTGGAGGAGTCAGTTTTAAAAGTCAGAAATCCTTCCACTTTGTGAAGTAATCGTTGAGTCATTGTTATTGAACCCTGCGACACCCCTGCAGACCTACGCTGTGGTCATTTTGTTGCTAGGGGGGCTGCCAATATCCAACTTATTGCACCTTTAAGAAGTGAGAAATCGAACATCTGATGCCCAGCCGAGGGTGTGAATGGAGGCAGCTGTAATCCTCTCTGTATATGTGTGTTGCATATGTCAGTATATATGTGGGTGCAATCGATGTATGCAATTTATGTTGTAACTGACAGGTTTTAAAGACTGCAAACATTTGCTGTACTTCTTTATGATGGAAATGACTACAGTGTGATACAAAACAATATATATCTTTTCATCAAATGCTGCAGTAGGACATTATGCTGCAGTGAATTCACACTGCGGTGTTGTATTTCTTTAAAAGATATTAAAAAAATACTAGTGTGAAGTTATATTTAGAGGATTTTTACTCTCTACACTTGTGAATGTGGATGATGACATTTAAAGAGCTGCTGTGAGAAATGTGAGGCTTCTGATATTCTCTAGCTAAGCCGCTGGTTGATTTGTAGAGCTAGTACATTTGTGACACATAAGTCGTCTGTGGGGAGGGAAAGTGCCGAAAACAGTGAAGCAGCAACATCCAAAAGTGTCAAAAAGAGAAACTTTGTGGTAAAGTCACGGCACAATCATGTCTAATCTCTTGAGGTGTTCCTCCAAGCTCTCAATCCAAACTTCTGTAGTCTTATAGTATGACGTGATGCAACTTTCACAATATTTTTTTTTAACATGTACTCATAACTTAGTTGGACCTAAAGCCTTTAGAAAATTCTCCAAGCAAATTTTTCAAAAAGCTACAGGTGAGTTCCAGCTAGTATTACCCTAAAGTGTTTTGTTTTTTTTCCTTTTGAACTAGCATGCTAATTATCACCCTTGAGAGTAAACAAGGTCCTCTTGGAATACATAAGACTTAGAAAACACTTCTGTTAAAATTAGAGAAATATGGAGAGAGTGTTCAAGCTGTTGACTGAGTCCCGTCAGTTTTCTAAAATAAATGTGGCGTTTCTAAAAGTCCAATTACTATATTTTATTTACCCTTTGACTGTTTTATGATTAAAATTGTCATTACAAATGTGAGGTTTATATACATACAAAATGCATTTACATAAGTTAAGCATTTGGGTTCTCTATGCTCCTTCTACTCTGGAAACACCAACAGCTACTCTTCCACTCGTTGTTCAGTCTAAGTTCCTCATGGTCACACCACACCTTCCTGGTCCAGTTCTATTACTCGGTTCTGTTACTCGGTCATCACGAGTAGGAATGAGTAAGGTGGAGTAGGAAAATAGTGGCGCAGTCTACTGCGTGGATATGGAAATTATTTGTATTGTACAAAAGACCGAGAGCATGATGGTAAAGTGCAAACTGCATCCATCTGAGTGCATCCATCCGTGTTTCTTTGATTTAACCTTTACCAACACCCAAAAATGTGGAACGTTTAGTACGCATTTGAATTTTTCCTGCCTTTTTCTGTCTTAAATACTGTAACTCACTTATGGTGTGCATCCCACACTCAGCAATAGGCCATCTTTAACTGCTCTCGAATGCAGCAGCTAGGCTGCTAACAAAAACTAGCTATATTTTTGCCTTTACAAGCTTTCAGTTCCAGTGAAATTCAGAATTCATTTTAAAATTTTATTAAATAAAGCCCTACATGGCCCAAGTTCCATCTTATACAGGGACATGTGCTGAGACATTACTGTGGCAGTTGGCCTCTCCGATAATCTGTACACACTCTTTTAACTGTTCCATGCTCTTATTTTAAAACCAGAGGGGATCATTTTGAGGTTGTAGCTCCTACATATTGGAACAGGCTAAATCTGTCGTTTGTTTTAAACAAGTGCAGAGAAAACTTTTTCTTAGTTAGAGAAAACGTCATTAGTTTTGTCCTTTTTCATAACTATTCTTCTTCTAATGTGCAGGAGAAAATCTAAGGCTGTATCTTTAACTCACATTTGTATATTTAGACATGTATAACTATCTTTAATTTGTGGTCTTCACCAAACTGTGAAGCACTTTGTATGTTTTAAAAGGTGCTATAAAAAATAAGCTATTGTTATTGTTTACAGTAAACATTAAGACAACCACCGCACTTAACATAACCTTGTAACATATGTAATAAAAAACAAAACAAAACTCATAACACATCTGATTGTCCTTTGTTCCACAGGAAACCAAATAAAGATGCTTCCTGAAGCAGAATTGGACGTTATTGTGTTTTCTTCCATACGACATGTATCGCAGTTGAGCAGTCTATCTGGTGAATTTGGATAATGGATTGGCTGTGCATAAGCAATCAATCCTCTGTGATGGAGAAAACGTGAGCACTGTGCTGGGAAACGGCCTCATGTGTTCACACCGCAATCCACCAAGACAAGAGTGGAGTGCTGCAGTGATTGATATCCTAATACAAACACCTCTCAGAGGAACGCTTGGCTGATTGTTGCGCGTTCATGGCATCGCTTTATGTATAACAGCCGTCCAATCAGTGCAGAGCTCCTGGATGAAAGGCAGCTCAGAGGAAAGCTGCTATTCGAGAACACGTGTAAATCTAACAGGTATCTATCAGCTGGGTACTCTGAATGTTTTGCTGCTTGAAAGCTTCAGTGATAAACGGTGTCTCAGTAGGGGAGGCTCGGTGTAAACAGTCCACTGCCATCTGAAACTCACTCTGACTGCATGAGTTATGTTAGTGAATTAACACCATGACTCAGTGGGTACCCTACGTGTCTAGTGGACATTGTTTTCTTCAACTGTCCATCCATTTGTCCATTTCTTACCACTTATCGGGATCCAGGTCGTAGGGCAGCAGTCCAAACACAGATGCTTAGACCAGTCACTGCTTCTAGCTCTTCTGGGGGGTAACTGAGACATTCCCAGGCCAAACAAGAGATGCATCTCTCCAGCTTTCTTGGGTATTCCTCTTGATCCCCAATTTGGTGATATGCCCAAAACACCTTACCTTGAAGGCATCTTAATTAGATGCCCTTTTCGGAGAAGCGGAGGCTTTACTCAAGAATGACTCAACTCCTCACCCTCTGTTATGCCCAGACACCCTTTAAAAGAAGCCAATTTCTTGAATCTGCAACATTGATTTACTTTTTTCTGTCACTGAAGGTTGTAGACACAAGTGAAGCTAGGAACCCAGACTGACCAATAAATCGACAGCCTCATCTTCAAACTCAGCTCCTCAGATCAGTACTGCATCCACATCAGTACACTGCACCAGGCCTGCCTGTCACTCTCTTGCTTTACTCTTCCCCCATTAGTTATCTGACAGAAGGAAAAATAATGACATATTTATTTGAACAATGTTATAAAAATGACTGTTTGAGCCTGTTGTTTTTACAGGTTTACAGAACATGTTTGTTTTTCTTACTTCAGTGAAAATGGCTCTAATGAAATTATCTGGTAAATGGGGAGGAGATGATGGAGCGCATCATCTCATGGGTAAATTGGCTGCATGTCTCTACCTGTTAGCCCTGCCCCCATCACCCTAGCTGTTGGGATGGATTTTTCCACCATGGACGACTCTTCTTGTCTAGTCTGATCTTGATTCTCTTTGGGGTTTCTCTGAAACATGTTCAAATTAATCTATATTGCAATGGCAAGCTTTAGGTCCATTCATTTGAAAATCAGGAGAAAAAGAAGGGCATTGCTGACATAAGATAATTACACTATCATTTATCAAGTGTGTGAGAAAATGCAGATCTACATTTAAATCATATTTGGAATCACTCATATCAATATTGGACAGTTTAGTGACCATCAACTGTTGAGCGTTCGGCAGCTTAGCTGACTCTGAACCTCAGATAAATCCAACTGCTCACAGAAGCTGTCACTCCGTTGGATAGCATGGCACTTGATGTGTAGGATATAAATAGTGAATAACACATCACATCTTTTTCAGAGACATTAACAAACACTCCTGTCTGTTCACAGGACTCCACTGTAAAACACTAAGATGCAAACACTGACATTTTTGATCTATGCAAGCCAAGGGCTTACAAGACTATTCAACCACCTCTTCTCTGCTTCCAATTCATTAAATTAACTGGTCATTGACAAGATCTTCCAAAGTTAAAATAAAACATTTTACAGTGTTGCGAATTCCTGGCAGGCACAAATCATAACAGTCTTTGGACTTTAGGAAAAGAAATGGGTTTTGCGGAGAGGCATGAATTCATATTAAATAATGTCATTAAAATTATTGCAATTAAACTTGACGTATACTAGGTTAGGTGCTATTAATTTTCAACATTGGAGTTCTGACACTTATACAAAGGAAGAGGAAAATACCCTGTTAAATACACCATAGAGGTCTCCTTTTATGCTGCATGTCGGCAGAGAAAGCACAACAGGGCTCACACAAGTGTTTTTCTTTTTTTTACACTTTATACTTTTGGATACATTAACAGTGTTTCTAACCAGAAACCCACTGTTGGTTCAGGTCTTCTGTAAAAATGTTTTAAAAATTATTACAATTTATAGTATTCTACACACTGCTTTAGAAATGCATTATAAACTATAATCTGTTTTAACAGCAAGGCCCAAAACTGACACTAGATATTCATTGAGAACTATTTCACTGCTCTTTGAAGACGGCAACCTTCTCCAGTCCCCCACCTTATGGCTACATATAGCTATGATCGACTTCTGATATGCTAGCATTGCCTGGTTGAGTTAGACGTCTTTACACATCTTGCTGTTTTACTGGTGGCTTACGAAACACCTCTGGCAGCATTACTACCACCTTCTGACTGGACTTGGGCTTTACGTACATCTTTAATGATGGAATATAAAAAAAAGTCACTGAATCGTAAATGTCTTCTGACGACTCACCTGCAGAGCCAGCAGCTTCTCACTGGGTTTAATATGCCGTTGGATCTCACATGCAACCGGCTGAATGACTTTGATCCCGTCTTCATAGAACACATAGAACATGTTGCCAATGCCGAGACCTGCGAGAGAGTAACAACAGCGCCGTTATATACGTGAAAAAGCTTATGAGACTGCACAGTATGAACATTTGGAACGGAAATAAGCATATAACATTGTTATCTACTCTCGAACCATCAAATCACTTAATCCTTCTCATCACAGTTCAGTAACCCTATTACAGAAATTCAATTAACTCAGTTTAATGAATGCTATAGTGGAGCAGAAGCAGTCTAGACGTACCTTCTTCCCGCCACAAAATGTTTGCCACTGCAAGGAAGGAAAAAGAGGGAAGCACAGATGAAAATAAATGCAAGAATCAATAGTGTCCCTTTGTGAGAACTAACACCCAAATACTGACTCCTGTTGAGGCAAAGAGGAAAGTAGACCACATGAAAGTTTTATGGAAGCTGTCTGTCTGACACCAAGTGCAACAAACAATCGATGGAGCCCTCTGCTTGGAAATAATTTGATTCCAAACACTGGAAAATGGAGTGCAGGCAACAACAAGTACTGTAAAACAGCTTATGATTTTTGGATGCTGCAATCTTACGAAGAGAGAGGAAAAAAAAACTTAGACCTCAGATCATCATCTATCAATATGAGCGTTATGGGTAAGCTGCCTTAGACACCCATGAGTAGTCCACAGGTTTCAGGCTCAGATGATTATCATAAGTCATTAGGAAGGATTAATGTGCTGCTTCTTCAGTGGCATGAAACCTGTTTTGGCTGCTATAACAGGTAATTTCTCATTAAATTCACTTAGAAGTGACTAATGACATGAAATGTGGGATGAAAGCCACATAACACCCTGAATGTTCACTGGCGACCTAAGACACAGACTGACAGTGGGCTTTCAAAGCAGCCGCTGGATACTCTGAGAGAAAAGATGACATCATAAGACTAAATAGTGAGAAGAAAATCTAGAGCTATTATATACTTTCCATGTAAAGATAAGAGCAAATTCTTCCACTCAATCATTCTCATCCCCCAACCTGCCACCACCACCACCACTATCATCTCACACTGGCTTTTAACTGTGACCTTCTCTCATTGTTCATGTGTCCCCCAGTCTTCTCTCTGCTTCCATTCCATCTTCCATTTTCATGCATTTTCAGTCTACAAACCAATCTCCAGGCCAATTCACATCCGATTCTAATCTCGCCTCTAGTGCAGTGCTCATTCCCGCAGCCTCTTGCTCAGGTGGACGGATGCAGAGAAAGAAAAGAGAGCTGAGACAAAGCCAACCAGACACCACTGTGCTGTTAGTCAGCCTTAATCTTTCAAAAGTGCTTTGTCAAGTCTTTCCTGTGCACTCTTGCATACCTTTTAGCTCATTAAAAGTTCCACAAAAGGAGCGGGGTGTATAGCGTGGTCTGGAGGATCGAGGAAGGAAGGACGGCAAGGACAAAACAAAAAGGAAAACAATACAATTTATTTGAGATCTGCCAAAAATGGAAAATGGAAAAGAGGAGCTGAGATGAGATCTTGTGTGCCCCGGTCTTTTCCAATAGTCCACAGTATTGATGCTATTCATCACTTGGCAGAAACACTGTGGCTGTTCTGCGCATACAAGGAGCCCATACATCAACTTCATCATCCATATAACAAAACAAGCTGGCTGCCACTGTAGGCAGTGAGTTCACTCTTTCTGGCCGTAATAACTATGTTTCCACTGGGCTCCAAACATCGGGGACGCCACGCTCACCAGCCAGTCTGGCCTCCGCAGTTCCTACCCGTCAGCAAGGTTACATAAATTCAATTTGTTTACAAGAGCACGCTGCTGCGACAGTGGGCCAAACAGCCCGTGGTGTTCACCACAGTGGCATGGCAGAAGACAGTATAATACAGCTAAAGTAATTGGGTCACAGTAGATGCAAATGTATAATGAAATTCAGGATGACTGCCTTAGGTGTTCAGCTTTTTATTGCTCTTTCCAGGTATTCTTTACGAAGTTTCTTGGAAAAACTGACCCAAGACTTATGCTTTAATTATAAGCTCTACACACATACACCTTCTCAACAGTTTGGAAGTACAAATCCTGCTCGCTGCTCTAGCATTATGTATTCAGAAAGTGAAAAAATAATGCTCGAGAAAACAGGCAGAAATATCATTCTTCCTCTTCTTTCTTTCATCATCTACACTGATACAAAAGTCTTTTGAGAACACTGATAGCATGCAGAGCAGGTACCCCACAAATCTGTGTAAAGCCAAAAAGATTTTTGCATGTGCCTGCCAACTCCCACTTGCAGTACATTGAGGCCTGGATCAAGATGTCTTAGGACTCTCTCCTTTGGCTCTTAGCCAAGCCCTGTAAACCTGGATATCAGCAGAAATTTGTCTTTAATGAACAGTGTCTAATACTACTTTTCAAATGCTCCTTTTAAAAAAAAACAAAAAAATGAATAGGTAAATGCATGTTCCTTTTACCTACAACCCCAAAATGTTCTCTTTTTAGAATTTTCTCTGTGCTGATTTTTAGAATTAGGCAGTTGATCAATTTTCTTGTAGGTGTTTTCAAGAAAGACTATTTTCTTAATTTGCTCTACACTATGAGTGACGCTGCCTACAAGTGAACAATACAGTACTTTCAGCATGAATGTCTGTGAAGCTTCTCTGTCATCCAGGTCATCGTAGACGTTGAAGACGTTGAAGACGTTTCACCTCTCATCCAAGAAGAAGCTTCAGTTCAGAACTGAAGCTTCTTCTTGGATGAGAGGTGAAACGTCTTCAAGCAACTTGAAGAAGTCCAGACACTTTTCTTTCCAAGCTCCTTAGACTTTCAGCATGAATAAAAAAACATCGGTTTTGCCACACGAGATATCTGGATTTTTGCCTAAATGTCTCTGATTTAAAGTGAAAAAAGCTCAGGAATTTACCTGAAACTTCGTTTAGAAGTCAATTATAAATCTAGGGAGGGAGTTCAGGAGGTAGAGCAAGTCATTTACTAATCAGAAGATTGGTGGTTTGATCCATCGCCGTGCCAGTATGCATGCCAAATGTCCTTGGGTAAAATACTAAAACCAAGTTTCCATCTATTGGATTATTGACTGTTATTGTCTCATACTGCTGCACTTTAAGTGAAAAAAAAAAAGAAAAACTCACAAAACTGCACACCATTACTGAGAACTGAGTAATTTCCAAAACGAATGCAACAACGCATGCCAAATATGTAACAATAAAGAAGAAAGTGTTCATCCACAACAAGGTGCTCATGGTAGTGACAGCCCAAATGTAAATATACACATAATATACAATATTAAATTGGATGGGATGTAATCCCAGATTTTTTTCCTTTACTTTCAAAGCACCAAAGAGTGAGTGCCATTTAGTTCCATTAAATAAAAGAGAAGGCAGATACCGCTGCAACTGGCAGCTCACACCATAGCTATCTGACTTTAGAGTGAACTGTCCCTTTAACCCTCAGTTTATCAGACAACGCTCTGGGCGCAGGGTGGGAATCAAAAAACAGTTCGAGTTGAGACCCGCTTCCAAACTGTCCAATCTATCTCGACTGTATGCCCCCAACTGCTTCTATCATCACTCGCACATTTTTCTGACAGATGAACATGTCAAACTGATGGAAGTGGAGCTTTGACACATGAGTCACACTGAGGCTTTTTTCCCCATACTCTGGTTCTAAATTGTGCTCAGACAAATAATTTAAAATTTTATGCTTATGCCGATCCCTACAGAAAACTAGTTAAATGCTTTTAAGTCAGCTTTCAGTATATACACGTTGGTCTTTCTACTGAGAGGTCTGACATCATTACCAATGTGCAGGCCCTTTAACACAATGAGAAGTACAGAGTATAATTTTTAGGGGGCAATTTTCATATCATGAGCCGTATGCCTTACAAAGAAAAGCCACAGCAGAAATCTTTATCCAGTTCTAGGAAATGAGAATTATAAAGCAATGTACCTTTGTGAGTCAAAGGTCAGAGAAAATGTCATGAAGCTGTAGCTCTCAGATGGTAAGCAGAGTATCTTTTTCCTGCGTGTTTTGCAAAATGTAAAAATGATGGTTGATACGGCTGAAGAAAAGTCATGAAGGTCATTTTAAGCGCCAAGATATTTCATGTCTTATTTAAAGTGGCTATCAACTGATGGTGGCTCAGCCTCTCTGGCGTTAAAGTGAATACTGATGAAACAATATCATTTTCAGAGCCTTGTGCTTCTCACTTGGCTTCTTCTCTCTGCGCTACAAACACTTATGAGTCACCTAGTGATCAAGTCCGACTTCATACAGAGAAAGTCTTTTAGCTTTTATATTTAACCCATCCATTCTTCAGTCACGAAATTCTTTAGATTTCCTAACAGCTTTTTTTTCCCTTCTTCCCCCGTTGCTTTTAGCAGCTCTGTGCTTCAACAGCAAGTTCCCAGCAGTACTATTTAAAGTCAGGTAGAGCGAGGAAGCTTTCAAAATAACAGGTCTGACGGCACTTGAATTAGAGCTGGGAGCCCGTGGACGACCGAAGGCTGTATCATCTCTTTAGGATGAAAAGTATTCAAAAGACTTAATCCCTGAGAGTTTTCAGAAAGGAGAAAAAAAAAAAAAAACCGAGTTACTGGAGAGCACTTCAAACATCCAAACTTGAAAAATAAAACTTGTTTTAACTGATTGTGCTTCATCACAAACACGGGCTGCTATGGGAGACATACACGGATGAATATCCGCTGTAGCAGTGCAGCCAATGTGATCCGTCTATAATTATGAACAAAAAAACCCTTGTGGTTTCTTATTTTTATTACATCACTAAATGAATCATGCTCTATCACATTTATAATACTTTGCAAAGTCATGGCAACTAAATCCATTCAACCTTTCAGCCAGTTTAGTTCTACAAACCAGGTTTAATGTAATCACTATAATCATTCAAGTGTAAATAGATTTTAAGTGGTGTTCGTGTTGTGTCCTCTGCTGTTCATGATTTGTACTGATTATGATCATTATCCTCATGATTAGTATTATTACATTAGCATTCAAAAGAATCATCACAAATATTCATAAGCTGTCATGTTGTAGCTGGGGCTTAAAGGTGTTAAAACTTTCCACTGGATTTACGTTATTCATTTCGGAAAGCCTTCACCGTGAAACTCAGTCGACAGGCAGTAGGCTGCTGACACTGCAGATAGCGTCACTGCCTGGTTAGAGTTCCTTGTTGCTGACAGCGTGTCCAACGCTGTGTGAAAGCCTGCTGTGATGGGGAGGGACGCTACTGATGGAAACATGGACGCTAGTTTGGCTCGAGCTGATCTTCTGTGTTCAG